ATCCCTCAGGTGAGTTACGCCTCCACGGCTCCGGAGCTCAGTGACGACCGGCGCTACGACTTCTTCTCTCGCGTGGTGCCTCCGGACAGCTTCCAGGCTCAGGCCATGGTGGACATCGTGAAGGCCATGGGCTGGAACTACGTCTCCACGCTGGCCTCGGAGGGCAGCTACGGGGAGAAGGGGGTGGACGCCTTCATGCAGCTCTCCAGAGAGTCAGGTAGGACCCCCTGCAGAGACACATCAGCAGGGTCTCGGGTACAGAGATGGCAAACGTACACACATCCTGTACTCAGGAAGAAGTACAGATACTCGTGTTTAAAAATACTCTGATAAAAGTAGAAGTACTGACTAAACTTCTTTACTCAAGTGAATGTAAAGAGGCTTTGAAATGTACTTCAGTAAAAAGTACCCATAACTAGCAGCTGTTTTAAAGAGTACCTGACCTCCCTTTATATTCATAGAACAATAATGTCATTGTTAGCTAATGAATGTTTCCATGCTGAACAACGGCAACATGACAACGTTTTCATTGGTCCCTCTTCTTTAGAGAAGACCAGGAAATGATGGATACACGGATCGTGTTCAAATCAATAGGCACGCAATGACTCTAAATAATAATGATCACGCCACCAAACACACATTCAAACTAAAGGAACCAGCCTGTTTGGGAAATGTGAGAAGTAGAAAGTACAGGTATTTGGGTTCAACATGTAAGAAGTAGAAAGTACAGGTATTTGGGTTCAACATGTAAGAAGTAGAAAGTACAGGTATTTGGGTTCAACATGTAAGAAGTAGAAAGTACAGGTATCTGTGTTCAACATGTGAGAAGTAGAAAGTACAGGTATTTGAGTTCAACATGTGAGAAGTAGAAAGTACAGGTATTTGGGTTCAACATGTAAGAAGTAGAAAGTACAGGTATTTGTGTTCAACATGTAAGAAGTAGAAAGTACAGGTATTTGTGTTCAACATGTAAGAAGTAGAAAGTACAGGTATTTGTGTTCAACATGTGAGAAGTAGAAAGTACAGGTATTTGTGTTCAACATGTAAGAAGTAGAAAGTTCAGGTATTTGTGTTCAACATGTAAGAAGTAGAAAGTACAGGTATTTGGGTTCAACATGTAAGAAGTAGAAAGTTCAGGTATTTGGGTTCAACATGTAAGAAGTAGAAAGTACAGGTATTTGGGTTCAACATGTAAGAAGTAGAAAGTACAGGTATTTGGGTTCAACATGTAAGAAGTAGAAAGTACAGGTATTTGTGTTCAACATGTAAGAAGTAGAAAGTACAGGTATTTGGGTTCAACATGTAAGAAGTAGAAAGTACAGGTATTTGAGTTCAACATGTAAGAAGTAGAAAGTACAGGTATTTGTGTTCAACATGTAAGAAGTAGAAAGTACAGGTATTTGTGTTCAACATGTAAGAAGTAGAAAGTACAGGTATTTGTGTTCAACATGTAAGAAGTAGAAAGTACAGGTATTAGTGTTCAACATGTGAGAAGTAGAAAGTACAGGTATTAGTGTTCAACATGTAAGAAGTCAAAGTAAAAAGTAGTCAGAGTAGTGGAGTAAAGTACTGATACCAGAAAAATGTACTTAAGTACAGTAACACAGTATTTGTACTCCACTACTTCCCACCTCTGCTCGGGTATACAACTGGTAAATCGTCAGGGTCTTCCACCCAGAGAGACATTTAGTTGGACTTTCGATATTAATTTCTGACATTACTGAGGGTCTGTATTTCAATTCATGTCATTGTCTGCAGACTGTGATTCCAACCTGAAAGCATGATGGCCTTAAAACTCAAGGACATGCATGCATGTGTTCCTTAATGTGAAATGTAAAATATGCATACATTGAAGTATGTCATGTAAGTTGTTGGAAGAGGATTACTAAGGGTACACAGTGATGGTACCTTGACAAAGTAGTTTCTGGGACTCAAAGTCTTGGGTTAGGGTTGGACTAGATAAACAAGGTTTATACTGGGCATCTGTTGGTGACTTTGCTCAGGCTCAGTGGAGGCACTTTTCTCCATTTTTAAAGTCATTTTTCACGAAGTAGAAATTGGAGCTGTAGCTTGAAAAGATTGCGTCGGTCTGACTCTCTAGAGCAGGGGTGGGGAACCTTTTTCCTCTCAAGGGCCATTTCAATGTTTTCAACATCCTCCGAGGGCCGTACAGATGATTGACCTCTGCTTAAAAATACTAAAATCACAGCCCATGCAAAGAAAAAGCAACCTCTTAATCCAGATATCTCACTATGACTCGCGCATCCAAGCACGTGCACGGTGTGGCATGCATGCACGTGCACGGTGTGGCATGACCACCAAAACAGAAAGATATGGACACAAGATGTGTGCAAATGTATTTAGTTTCCTATCCATGTGGACATGATTTAAGTGGGCGGGGGGACCTCACCTCCTCTAGGGGGGTCCTAACCTCCTCTAGGGGGGTCCTCACCTCCTCTAGGGGGGTCCTAACCTCCTCTAGGGGGGACCTAACCTCCTCTAGGGGGGTCCTCACCTCCTCTAGGGGGGTCCTCACCTCCTCTAGGGGGGTCCTCACCTCCTCTAGGGGGGTCCTCACCTCCTCTAGGGGGGCCCGGGGGCATGCTCCCCCAGGAAGATTTGTTTTTAAATGTTGAAGTTGAAAGCATCAATCTGGAGCACTCTGAGAGCAACATGAGAGATCTATGGAAACATCTCAACACATGAAACACAACTGGAAGCAGATTTATTTTTTCTTTATGGATATTTTACAAATCACTCTCCTTTCAAACTGTATTCTTGTTTATTAATAACAACTTGTTTTTACTGTCATATAGTATTTTATACCTGTTTATTCTCTTGTTTTTTTATAACTCTAATGATCACATAAAGATGTGCCTTTACCTCACTGGTTGTAGAAAAAGCTTCTTATATCCGTTAGCATAGCTAGCTAACCAGATGCTAATAACAGCAAAGTTATTGACTGTATGATCAGTGTGACAGATGAGCAGAAGCCACTGGGCTTTCAGCTAGAGACACAGCCACGCACAAACTGCGCCATGTGTACGGCTCCTTATGGGTACTGCACTTTGTGAAGTCCCGGCCCGGAGCGGTGTTTCTGGTGCTCTCCGTCAGAACTGCACCCCTTTCAGACGAGACATAGACCACGTGATGACACGTTAGGCTCGTGTTGTGTTCAAGGACCCTGATCTTGGCCAGGAAAAACAGACACTCGCTTTTTTTCATTCTTTTGCGGTCTAGATTTCTTTCATTTTTTTTTGTGTGTGTTTATAAATTACCTCGAGGGCTGGGGGCCGGAGGTTCCATTACATTACATTACATTACGTCACTTGTTAGACGCTTTTATGCAAAGTGACTTACATACATTCAGTACTGTGGACAACCCCCACAGGAGCAATTTGGGGTGAAGTGTCTCAGGGACACAACGACATGCTGACTGCAGTGGGACTCGAACTTGCTATCCCCTGATTCGAAGTTGAGCGCACTAAGTTCAGCTGAACTGAGCCACAGCCTCCCCTTCCCCACCCCTGCTCTAAAGCATGCCTATAGGGTCCATGTGTCTCCTCATGTAAAATGTAATATATGCACACATTTTCGGATGTAACAGATCAAGTGTAAATTGTTTGAAGAGGATTAAGAAGGGTACACAGTGATGGTGTTTGAAAAAGTAGTGTCTGGGACTCAAAGTCTCGGGAAGCTTGGGTTAGGGTTGGACTGGATAAACAAGGTTTATACTCGGCATATGTTGTTTCCATATCAACAGTGACTTTACTAATGCTCATAATATACCTCCAGTGGAGGCATGTTTCTCCATTTAAAGAGTGCCAATTGGTTCTGTAGCTTGAACAGATTGCGTCGGTCTGACTCTCTAAAGCATGCCTATAGGCTCCATGTGTTTCCTCATGTAATATGTGCACATCTGAGGATGCAACGGATCAGATGGGAGTTGTTTGAAGAGACCTAATGAGGTACACAGTGGTGTTGATTGCCCCCTGAATAATCTCAGTGACATTTGCAGCGATCTGACTCTCGGGTAAGAAGTGTCCTGACATTTATGTGCTGGAGTTTTTAGAGGATTATTAAAGGACACAGCACAGAGGACGCCACACATCTTTTAACTGTGCTAACTCCAAACAGCTGGCCAATATCTGCACACGGATAAGACCCTGAGCATTGATCTGTGCCGCTTTTTGAAGCATGATTTGATCAAATAAACGGCACAGCGGTGCTTCTCGGTGTCACCCCGGGAACTCTGCACACTCTTTATCCTCCAGCAGCTTCCTTTGAAAAGTCTGAGGCCTCTTCCTCCTGGCTGTGTTCCTGTTTTACAGACATACATCTACTCAAGACAACATCGAATAGATGCAAAAAGACTAGAAGAGTTTACAGAACTATTGATATCAGTTTGGCGATCAACGTCCGATCAATTAGGCTTTACAAGGTTGTTTAATTACTATTGGATAAATGTCCAAACCTCAGATCAGGGGGATCAAACTCAATTTCATCGCGGCCACATCAGCATTAAGGTTGCACTCAAAAGGCACATATATAAATATTTAACATATATAAAATAATGTATTATATTACATTACTGCCTCTGCATTGAATTATTATCAGATAGGGTAACAACTTAATCATTAACTACATCTGAAAGCAGAAGTCTAGGGCAAATAATGGCAAGTCTCTTCAGTGCGCATGTCACAAAATGATTTCAAAAGAAAAGCCAAATTCTGGAGAAAAAAGTCCAAATCAAAAAAGAAAGTGACATTTTGAAAAGAAAGTGACATTTTGAAAAGAAAGTGACATAAAAAAAAGGCATATTTTGAAGAAAATAAGTCAAATTTGAGATGCATTGTGGGACATGTAGTTTATGGGCAACGTGCTTCTGTAAATCGGGAAATGTAACTGTATAATTGACATATGATATTCTTTGCAAGCTCTTGTGGGGCCGCATGAAAAGAAGTCACGGGCCTTCAGTTTGACACCCCTGCCTCAGATTATCAGCTCACAGGAGTTTAAGGATCCTCAGAAGACCGAAGGCCAAAGGAGTTCAACCAATCACAGAGTCCGTCTAAATGGAGATAGAGGGTTCCTTGCTCTAAGCATCCATCCATCTTTTACGTTTCAATTGATCAGGAAAAATCCCAAAGTCTGAGTCCAGCTGGCTGTGTTCCTGTTTCACAGACAGACATCTGCACGATAACTCACATAGAGTGG